GGTCGGTGTTTGATGTGGGTGTGGGTGGTTATCCAAGAGAAGATTGCTATTTTTATTCATACCCATCCACACTCACCCACACCCACACCCACACCCACACCCACACCCACACCCACACCCACACCCACACCCACACCCACACCCACACCCACACCCACCCTTTTAGGGCATTGATATTTGGTATGGAAGCTTGTCCGATATCAGTGTGGGAGAACATATAGGAGCAATAATCACGCATATGGTTTAATAGAAGACGTTATCAGAAACTGGGCATCCTCATTATGTTGAAAAAACACTCAAAAAGGACATTTCAGATGTTTTTACAAAAATGAAAGCTGACAATAATGTATGTGAAACTTTTTTCAAACCCTGGGTGTGAGAAAATTTCCTAAATTTAGACACTTAAACATAGGAATATATACGTAACCCTTTCTATTTGGCACCAATAAATTCCATTTTTGATGAGCTTCCCTTTGCTAGAAAATTCACTATTTACTCTATTTGAAGTTATAGTGGCATACTCCTGGCAAAATATTATTTTCATCCCAATATGACGTGCCATAGTGTCTTCTATATAATAAAAAAGACTGCAGGTTTCTTGCACTTATCTTTCAAAAGTAACAAGCATTCTTTCCCAGTAGCTTATTGAAAAAAAAGCTTACAATGGTATTTTGCTATCTCTCAACTGAAATTTCCGAGAATCATCAAAATTTTGTCTCTTCCCAACCTAAAAATGGGGAAAAAGTGGTTAATTTTAAAAATGACTGCAGGTTATGCTTAGTGCATTAGTTAAACAAGGCAATTGTTCAAGCTGTAGTAGAATGAAAACAACCAATGGATAGAATGATAAAGAACAATTCTAAAGGCATCTATTAATTTTTTTGTGTTCTGCTATATTTTGGTCATTTAAATATACAAAGGTTTTCCAAATACAAAATTCAAAGTTTATGACATGTTCTAATTGCGACTCTAAAAAGTTCGCAACAATTCTGATTGTACCGTGGGAGAGAACAAGTAGGATTTTTTAGGAGTCGAGACTCTCTTGCATATCTCTAGTTGAATATCTTCTAAATGTTGATGGTGAACTTTATGCAATCTTCTAGGTGGCCTGATTATCGTTGTGAAAATGAATTTGGCGTGGTGACATTGAGTTGTTTGTTACATTTTTCACATTCTGACTTGATTGCTGGGTTGAATTGAATTTATGATTAGATGATTAGAGTGGAGCATGTGTACGTGTATCAAAGTGCAATATATAGTAGAAGAGAAAAAAACCTATGTTTCCTATGTGAAAAAAAAACGAATGAAAAGAAGAACATCTCTGTTGTAACAGAACGTAAGAAATAAATTTTTTTCTAAATGGAAAATGATACGGTTCGATAACTCCGTGACTAATGTCAGGGCCAAAAAAATATCTACACCATAAAAAAAATAATTAGTTCGTTAGATGAAAATAAAACATATCATCGTCCTTGGCAAGATATAATGAGTGTTTTGAATAACTTTCTCGTCTTAGGAGAGTTCGTGACTGGGTCGAGCAATTTTTAGTAACCTAAAGTCTTAAGTAGTGTTACCCCTCGTTTTATTAGTGAGACTGACAGATTATGAGATGAGAATATCAAGTCCAAAATACCAGCTCGATTGATCCTATAAATGAAAAGTTATGAGAACTACACTGACGACTACTCATTGATTCAGTCAAAATTGGTACTTTTTAGTGTCATTCTCATATGTTTATGGAAATGTAACCAATTTTTCAACAATTATATACCATTCGATAGCGCATCTAACGCTCTGCAGAACTAGGGTGTCGGTGTAGGTCTTCTTTTCATCACCATACACACAATCAAATGGATATTGACATCCACGTCCTCGCGGTTTCCTAAAAAATATATTTCATGAGAAAGTTGTTTCGACTGTGAGAAACCAGTTGCATAGTTAGAAAATGATAGTAAAACACGAAATGGTAGATGACTAAACAATACAAAGATGGTTCTTATGAAACATATTTTTTGAGGAAACTCTGAAAGTCACCAGGAGTGAATTTTTGTAATCCAAAATTTTCGCGAATATATTTGAAGCACATATAGGTTGACTAAGTTTTCAATGCTAGCTCCAAAAACTATATTAATTTTAACTCTATTAGTATGAAGAAAACGAAAAAAAGGCGCAAATTAAGCGAAAAACATCGTTTTCGCACCTTCTTCGACATAAAAATGCCTAAGAGTCCTTTTAGTGAATTACGAATATATTTTAATTTTAGACTAGTTCTGTAGGCTTTTTATTGCTCTGTCAAATGCATGATCCAAATTTCTGGCATTTTTCTAAACTTTAGAGGTGATTTCTCAGAATATTGATTGTGCTTAATAACTACGCATCAGTATTTTGATCAAAAGTGTCATCTGAATATTTCATTTAATCCTGTCATATACCTAGCTCTAGATAGAGCGTTCAATGAGTTATTGTAGAATGATGTATTATTGTTGAAAAATCAGTTGCAATTTGACGAATATATGAGGATTACACGAAAGATTATCAATCTGATTGAATCAATGAGTAAACATCAATGTGATCCTCATACATTTTTAGTTATGTGATGAATAGAGCTAATATTTTCCGGGTTTATTAGTTTCACCTCATGATAGGGTTTTCTGATCTTGTTGTAAATTTTCCCTTAATCATTGCTAGAGCTCATTTAGCTTCTACATATCCAATGGCAAAATTATCAACGCACATCATCGACAAAACCACAACAGGCTCGTCTGATGATAGAAATACAGTAATAGAATCAAATGTTCTTCTTGTCTGGTTTAGTTCAATAATTACTGAAAGAGATGATCATTATGGTTATTTGATAACACATTTACAAACTATTATCAATGATATTCATGTGTTCGAAGATGCTGATCAATGTGTGGATTTTGTCACTGACATTAATCATAAGAAAGTACTTTTGATTATCACTGATGATATTGATCAGTATCTAGTCCCTCTTATCCACGATACACCACAGCTTGATTCGATCTATCTATTCTCTCAAAATAAAACAATCAATGAACAATGGACAAAAGAATGGTATAAAATCAAAGGTATTTTCTTTGAATTTTCTCCAATTATTGATTCAATTAAATTAATCATACTGAAAAACAATAGAAATTCAATTGGCATCAGTTTTATTTCCGTCGATGATGCATCAGATCCTAACTTAGATCAACTTGATCAGTCTTTTATGTATACACAATTGCTGAAAGATATTCTACTTGATTCAGAATATGATGAAGGGTGGATCGAAAATTTTGCAACCTATTGTCGTAATAATAATTCTGGTGAATTAAATAATATTAATAGATTCGAACGTGAATACCGTGATCATTTACCAGTATGGTGGTATACGTCGGATTCTTTCCTCTGTCCTATGCTGAATCGTGCTCTACGTACTCAAGAAGTTGAAACCATTATTAAAATGGGATTTTTTATTCAAGATCTTTATCGACAAATAGAAGAGCTTCATTCTGACCAATTTGCTAATAGTCAAGCACAATTACTTATTGTATACAGAGGCCAAGGAATTTCATCAACAGATTTCGAAAAATTAAAGAAAGCGAAAGGTGGATTGATATCATTCAACAATTTCTTATCGACAAGCGCTGATAAAGATGTTTCTTCTATGTTTGCTGAAAGCATCCTGGTCGATCCGGAGTTGATAGCTATTTTATTTGAAATCACGGTTGATACATCAATTGTGTCACCACATTTTGCATTCGTTGACAATGTCAGTTACTTTCGTGATTCTGAACGAGAAATCTTATTTTCAATGCATAGCGTTTTTCGCATACGTGATATTCTTTCAATGAGTCATAACGATCGATTTTGGAAAGTAGATATTACACTGACAGCAGACAATGACAAGCAACTTAGTGTTCTCACAACAAGAATGCGAGAGGAGATATTTGCAGGAACTACTGGATGGAGTCGTTTGGGTAAGTTACTTATCAGACTAGGAGCTTTTGATAAAGCTGAGCAAGTCTACAAGGCAGTACTTGAACAGGAAACCAATATACATGAGAAAATCATTGTTTATCATCAACTTGGAAGTATTAAAAACGAACAAGGTAACTACTCAGAAGCTATTAAGTTCAATAAAAATGTTCAAGAATTAGTGGAAAAATCACTCCATTCAAAACATTCAGTCTTCGCCCACTCTCAAGCTCATATGGGCCTTATGTATGAAACCATGGGCGAAAGCGACAAAGCAATCGACTGTCTTCAAAAAGCGCTTGATATTATCAAACAAGCACGCACTCCGGATCTTCACAATTTGGCCGCTTGCTACCAAAACCTTGGTTCGGTGTATCAAGGTGTAGGTCAGCATCAGAAAGCACTTTCATTTTACGAAAAAGCAATGGATACATTTGAAAAAATACTACCTCCAAATCATCCTGATCGGATAGAATGTTACAGTAAAGTTGCTTCGGTGTATTATCACATGGGAGAATATGCAAAAGCGTTGTCATGCCATATGAAAATATCAGAAATTCGCGAAAAAGTTTTACCACCAAATCATCCAAATTTGGCTCTATCTCATAGCCATATAAGTTTGATATATAATGCTCTAGATGATTACTCAAACGCACTTCTATCTCAAGAAAAAGCAATTAAGATTTTAAAAGCAACATTTGATGAAAATCATCCTGATTTTGCCACTTTGTACAATAACACTGCTTATATATACTTCGGCATGGGCGAGTATTCAAAAGCGCTTTCATTTCACAAGAAAACACTTGAAATACGACAACATATCCTCCCTCAAGACCATCCTTATTTCGCTTCGTCCTACAATAGTATCGGTTCAATCTTTCAGAAACAAGGAGACTATTCGAATGCATTAACATATTTCGAAAAAGCACTTGATATCTGTGAGAGAACACTTTCACTCAATCATCCAGTTCTGTCTTACTGCTACAATAACATGGGTTCGTTATACAATGACAAAGGTGAATATGCAAAAGCACTTGTATTTTACCAAAAAACCGTTGAAATCTTGGAAAAAATTATGCCACCAAATCATCCTTATTTGGCTACTGCTTATAGTAGTATTGGACTCGTATATTCGAATACAGGCGAGTATTCAAAAGCACTTCCGCTATTCGAGAAAACACTGGAAATGCGCCAAAAATCATTCACAGAAAATCATCCTTCTATTGCATCTTCATACAATAATATTGCTGCAATGTACCACAAAATGGGTGAGTCCTCAAAAACACTTTCTCTTTTAGAAAAATCACTGGATATTCGCAAGAACACGCTTCCTTTTAACCATCCAGATTTGATACATTCCTACAATAATTTGGGTTCATTCTACACTGATAGCGGTGACCACTCGAAAGCATTACTTTTCCACCGGAATGCAATTGATATTCTCGAAAGTAATTCTTTCACATATCATCCAGATCTAGCTCTTTCATATCGTAACATCGCCATAACATACAATAAAATGGGTGAATATTCCACTGCACTCTCTTTTCATGAAAAAGCAATTGAGATTTTAAAGAAAACTCTCTCAGAAGATCATCCTGAATTTGCTGAGTCATACAATCAAATTGGATCTGTATATCACAATCTAGATGAGTCTGAAAAAGCTCTTTCATTTTTGGTGAAAGCACTTGAAATACGACAAAAGATCTGCTCACCAAATCATCCTAATTTGGCACAGTCGTTTCACAACATCGGTGTCGAATACGATCGCATGGGCGACCACTGGAAAGCACTCCCGTTTCTACAAAAAGCCATTGACATTCGTGAAAAAATTCTTCCTCCACATCATCCCTATTTGGCTACTTCTTATACTAGTATTGGTTCGGTATACAATCAAATGGGTGATTACCCGCAAGCCTTATCTTTTCACGAAAAAGCATTGGAGATTTTCAAGAAAACATTTGATTTGAATCATTCTAATTTGACCAATGCATATAACAAAATGGGTTTATTATATCAAAATATGGGAGAGTATTTCAAAGCACTACACTGTTTTGAAAAGGAGCTTGGCATACACGAAAAAATGTTACCTTCAGGTGTTCTTATCTTAGCTCAATGTTATCATAACATCGGTTCGGTGTACAATGAAATTAAGGAATATGAAAAAGCACTCGTGTTTTTTGATAAAACACTGGAAATTAAAGAACAATTACTCTCTGAAGATCATCCTATATTAGCTGAGACATATAACAATTTAGGTTTGCTTTATTCCAACATCAATCAATCTTCAAAAGCACTTTATTTTTATGAAAAAGCCGTTCTAGGCCTCGAAAAAGCACTTCCACCATCTAATAAACTTCTAGCGACGCCAATATTGTTATAAGAGGCAACTAGTAAATCATGACTATGAGGTAGTGTCCTTTGACGAATTCGAAGAGCCTTTTCAAAAAACATAAGTGCTTTCCGAGGTTCTCCGGTCTTGTAAGA